GATACCAGCCTTAAAAAAACATCTCTTTTGAGGAGTTCCTCAATTTAATTTAATAACAATTGATTCATACTTTTAGCGTGCATTTCTTTTTAAAGTCTGTAGCCTATTTTGTGACAAATTTGTAATATCGCGTGATATTCTTATATCCCACAAGCCTTTGCTTTATCGTTTGTGTTTTCCCGTTTACTTGCACTTCGATCGCCCGTAAATTTTCAACAAGTTTAACACCAATTTGGAGGTTATCCACCTGGACCTTCAATCCGCCAACTCTCAGCCTGCTAAGACAAGCCCTTGCTTGGTCTGGTGATGCCTTCGTTTATCCTGGTGAGGTAACAGAATGTTACTTTCCGACTGAATACGGCTTCCGGTTTTGTGGTGGTAAGAAAAAAAGAATCGTAAACCTTGAAAAGTTTCTTTACTAACACATTCCGTTGTGTCCTGTATGTATACGCGGGAATATCGAAGTTTGATTTCCTACTTAAATATATCCAGTCTTTAAGTAAAGAATTGGGAGCTGGATCTTTCCGTTTATAGGAATTTCAATCATTGAGCAAAAGGACACCAACACAACAACACTGTTGGTGGGACAGTTAATCGTTCTATATCCTTTCAATAGTCAGAACTGATTGATTTTTGTGGCATGATCACTTTAGCTAATGATGCAAATATTCCAACCAAATATACCCCTATAACTTGAGTCAATTTTGTTGAATGCCTGCGTAACCATGCACAAACAGTGCATTGTACACAATAAAAAGATCGTCACTAAAACACCACACGAGTACATAGGAGTAACATATGAGTACAGACGAGTAGCATACGAGTAACATACGAGTACATACAGATACATACGGGTATCAGGGTATATACCAATACATTAGACACATACTAATACATAGGAGCAACGTACGATGGCAGAAGGGTAATAAGCATGAACAGGGTACCATTTTTCGCGCAGGTCATGTCTAGCACACACACGCGAGCGAGCGCACGTGCTATACACGCGCGCATACCACGCACATGCACGTGTGCCATACACACAAACAAACCTGGACGCCCTGACCGCTGATGTGATATGATGCGACGATACATACGGTAATAAAAGGTAAAATAGTGAATCAAAATTAATAAACGGGCAGACTACGAGTATTCCCTGATCATTTTCTCTCATTGTGATTCGAGAGTCGAAAATCGCGGGAGTCGGGCATGACAGATGAGAGAAATACTTTACCAAATAAGGTGCAACTGGCTCCTTGACTGTTGACGCATCGAGATTATCTGATGTTGTGAAAAAGACCAAAGTGCACACACGCGAGTCCGATTTTAATGAGATCGGTTTCTTAAAAACGCCTCTTGACGTCTACCAAAATTCCCGGAGAGTTGCCCGCGCATTTGACTTTGGTTGACTTGATTTGGTTGTATTATAAAAGGAAGCCTTCATGGATCTACTCGGCACTGGTGGCAAAATTGTTTTTATGGGGCTATAACATTTTCTGAATCCCGGACCTTGTCACGGTTTTCGACGCCATCTTGACGGGTAGGCAAAGCGAAAAA